ATTATTATTATCGTTATCTACACCGGAAAATGATGGCCTCTTTCTTATTGAATATGCCGTTATCATTATCATTATCACTAGTATCAGAAACTGATGCCCTATTTCCCAGAAGATATATATGCTATGCTTTTTTTTTGTGCTAAAAAATTTTGTCAATGTAATTTTTGCAGTCAATTGTAAAGAAATATTTTCAATTANAAAAGTTNTGGATTTTTGATATAAATATTATTTCGGATATGTATCACTAAGTAGGCATAAGTTAGATCATTAAATTAATATTTTTTGAATTTCAAAATTTATTATTCCTTTCTTATGCTAATTGAAAGGCTTTCTATGGTATATTAATTATAATAAATAAACAAGCATTTAATAGGATTGGTATCATCTGAATTTGATGAATTTAACATTTATTCTGTTAATTGTAATTAATTTGCCATCAATCATTTTTAAGAATGGGAAAAAATTTTTTCATTATTATGAAATGAATTTAGTTAGGATGATTTAAAAATTTTAAATCATATATGGCATTTAATTTCGTCAATAATTCTTAATTTTATCAAATTATATAAAGCAATGATATTTACAACTTTCTCCTCCACCTTTTTTAGTTTTCGAAAAAAGCTTTCAGGACGATCAAGTTTTCAATTCTTTGATTTTTACTGAAACATTTTTTATTGAAATTTGAAATTGATACATTACAAATTTCATATTAGTTATATATTTTGAGAATGTCATATTTTTATGAATCGAATTAGCTGTTAAAAAAAAGCAAAAGCGTCAAACATTATATTTGTTATTATGTTATCAAATAAATTACATCGATTTGTGCAATTTTTATAAATAATCGTGGAAAATTTTTCTTAATAGAATTAAGAGTCAACTTTTTAATTATCATCATCTTACGTAATGCTTGTCGTTGCGTAAAATTTTGCTCTATTAACAAATTATGTTCATAATAAATAACATTTAATTACTATTATTATTATATTTATCATATGTATATTTGAAATGATGGTATTTTGCTATTTTATTCAAAACTTACACTCAACAATATCGAAATAAATTTATTAAAATACAAAATTACTTTGCAATATAACTTATGGTTTTGTCGAAAAAGTATGAATACCTACTAAACATTTGATTGAATAAATTTAATTCTAATCTTTTTTTTTTCATGTGGATAATAAAGAAGAATGAATTCAGCTGTAACTTCTAGAAATATTTCGAGTGGCAAACATGATCTTCAAAAAGTTAGCATTCATTTATTGTTTGCTTGTATTTGTTTGAAAAAAAATTATTGGCATATATTTTGTGTTATAAATTCCAAATGATGTATTAATTTCTAGTAAATAATTTTAAATTTCGAAAATAAGTTTATACTTTGTTTTTTTTTTTGTTGTACTCGTCTGAAAAAAATTATTAGCAGATTATTTGTATTCTGAACTTAGAAAATTTAAAATTTTGGATATAATGTTAAATTTATTGAAGTATGAAGAATGTATACGTCATGCAAATGATGCATTGCGAGATTTGATGGAACTTGTCAATATGCCCGATTTTGAGGATCACGATGGTTGGAAGCAAAAAATTTCGAATAAAAACGATGTTGTTTATTCAAAACGCTATAAAATGGGAAAAGTTTTCACAATGAGGGTAATTTTTCCAAAAAAAAATTTCTTTCTTTTAATCATAAATTTAAAAATTTTGTGTCATATGAGGAAATCATGCAAAATCATCTAATTTTGAATAAATTTTTATTATAAGAAATAGCTATGTGAAAGGAATATTAAATTTTATAATTTTAAATTGCTGCTAAAGTATTTTCAACCTTCATATTTTATATTGAAAGAAAAAATTCTAAGAATAAAATTATCATTCATTTATTTATTACTTTGTTTTCTTGTATTTTTTTTAGACAGTCTTTAATTTTCCCCTACAGCAAGCTTTTGTGGAACATTGGGAAAATTTCGTCGATATTATTCATTACAATAAAAATATCTCAAGTGTGAAGATTGTTGCTGATCTATCATCTAACACCGATATTGTTTATGTAAATATTTTTTTTTTTAATTTGATATTATTCAGAGAAAAAAGATTAAATATATTTTTGAAAGAAATAGTTCCATTGAAGAGATTGAAAAAAAGGATTAATAATGTAATAAATGCAAGAAAAAATGTTTATATATTTGTAGTATATGATAAAATAAATATAATTCATTTGTTTTTCATTTTATATTTCGAATTTTAATTTTTCCTCCCGAATTATAACATTTTTAGTATGCAATGAATGACATTTCAAGCATCAAAGGTCGAGAGTTTCTAATGTGTCGCACATTTCGTCGTGCTGATAACGAAATTATCGAAGCTGCACGAAGCATTGATCTTCCTGATTTTGAATATAATCCACAGAAAATACGGTTAGTTTTGTTTGAATAAAAAATGTTCGGTCTTTTCTTCTTTTTCCTCTTATTTTTTGATAGAATCATACAGTATTTTAGCTAAGATATATATTATTTATCATTTTAGAAAATTTTTATTAAATCAGCCTTTACTGCAAATTTTATTTTTATGCTTATTAAAAAAAAATTTGCTTCACTTACATTCTTAATAAACTTAAATTAATTTCGTCTTTTTCACAACTCTCATCTTTCGTGCTTATAGAACAAATATTTCAATTTGATGATTTTGCCATAAATGATAATAACATTTTACATACTATTTATCTCTTTAGTAAATTTAAATTAATTTCATCGTTAATACAAATTACATGTTTTGTATTTATAGGAAAAATTTGGTAATTCCATTCCTAAAACACTTTTTTTTTTGTTATAAATGTTAATATCAATTTTCAATTATCAAAATTTGTTATGAAATATTGTCCGTTTCAGTGGCCATATTATACTTGGTGGTGGACGTTTTCGAATTCATCCCAAAGACTCCACCAAAACAATTGTTGACTATGTGATGTGTGTGGATTTTAAAATTCCGGATATACCAAAAGTAATTATGGATACAACACTCAGTATGCTAATTATACAAGATGCAGAATCGATACGAAAACAAATCGAAAAGCTTAAACGTGAAGCTGTATGATTAAGATTATGTGATAAATTTATCACATAATTTCATTTTTTCATTAAATCATCTTCGTATAATTAGTTTAATTTTTTTAAAAAATTTTTTATAAATGATTTTGAAGTGAAAATTTTGTTATATTTTGTGTCAACGTTGAAAATATTTTCAAATATTAATTTATGAATATAGTTATCAGTGGAGTGATAGTTAATATTTGTCCATATTTTCTTGCCTACTAAACTGCGTACTTTTTAAGTTAGGGTAAAAGCATTTATTATATCAATCATTTGCTGAAATCATTTAAATAAATAAATAGTGTTAAATAGCACACTATTAATTATATGATTTATATTATAAGAATCAGATATTTTGAATAACTGAGTCGATTATATTTATTAGAATACTTATTGACGTACTGGGATATATTCATTACTT